AGATTTGATAGCTTACGCAAACATCGACGATAAAACAACAATGTTTACAGAAACGGATCGGAACTTTTTATCCATTTTTGGATTAAAAAATTTTTGAGCGGATCAAACTATTACATTCTCTTTTTTTTTTGGGAAGGGAAGAATAGGTATTGTAAGTATTTGTTTGCTTAAAATTCACTCTAAATTGAATTATCCCTTACGAGTAATGCAAAACGATCAGACATAGACAACTATTTATTTTTGCTTTTGTTAACATATTTAAACGCAAACAAAAAATCAATTAACATTCCTCACTTAGATTTAAAATTTTATTCTAAATTATTTCAACATGAATTTTGCTACATATATACAAAATAAAATCAAATTTTTTTAGTTGTAAATCCAAAAAAAAAAAAAATACTAATTTCGACATAGTAAATTACTGAAGAGAAAAATTACTAAATTTGCAAATACAAAATTAAAATTTTATAGTTTCTGGAGAAAAAGTTGGATGATTTAAATTCTTATAACAGTTCATTTCATCAAATATCTCTCGAAACTACTGAAAACCGTCACGCCTTGTTCGGATTTATCTTAACTCGAATTCTTTTCAAATCAACACATCCAAAAAAGGATGGTAAGCAACGATCTCCCATAACACTGATATTTTACATTAGAGATCAAATTGATTGACCGATAAATTTTCATTCAATGAAAATACTTTCTTTTTTTTTATATACGGGAAAGGGAATGCTGAAAAGAACAAAATGCTTCTCGACGAAACTTTTTTACAGAAAATTGAACACCAAGCATATTCTGTTTGACAAATAATTCGAAAAAAAAAACAAAAAAAAAAACATAAAATGATCGGTATACAATAGGAAGTGAAAAAATTAAATCTCGTTTGTTTAGATTTTTGATTGATAAAGTTTAATATACTGTTCTAAGAAAGAAAAAATAAAAACTTTGAAATCTGTAAAATTTAAAATGATCAATCAAAACGGATGTTATATTGGCAATAAGGTCATGTAATTTTCCTCGTTTTCAACAGCAACTTACAATCAAAAATTAAATATTCTAATTTTTATAATTTTTTTAAGAAAACTAATCCGATATATAATGAGGAAAATACAAGTTCAAATTGTATTATCCCTGCTACCTATCTTTTCATTATTTGATAATCTTTACTTAATCGAATGCCGGGAGTCGATTGGTGTAAAAATAGCGATAAAAAACAATATAAAATGATCATATCAATATTAAGATGATCATTTTAGATTTGAAAATATCCTCAAAAATATTTAAAATTGTTAATAAAATAATGAGTAATTAGTTTGAAACATTAAAAAAAATGCTGTAATTACTGTCACTGAATTAACTTTTGAATTTTTGATCACGAAAGAAAGTGTCATCTATCTAATGTTGCTGTCAGATATTAAGCGGTACGACATTACAATCAGTATTTGTACTCTTTTTTTTAAATCGAATTTAAATCACTGGAAAAAAATTAGAATGATGATATTAAATTTTAAATTATTACTGCATATAAAACAACTTAAATTTTTAAAAGAAATAACATACAACGAATGATTTTCGAAAATCACAATAAAAATTTAAACATCTAATAGAATTGATTAAAACAGAGTAGCTAGTAAATGAATAAGGATTTTAAGCTAAAATAAACTTTCCAAAAGCATTATTCACTGTCCAAAAATCCGTCGTGTAACTTAATGGTTTAATTTCTAATTTTAATTTAAATAATATATTATAACTACTAATTGTTTGTTGTATGAATACTTTAAATGAAATGAGATCAAATAAACGATGTTCCATTTGAAAAAGAAAAAAGCGAGAAAGAAAATTACATATATTAAAATTATATAGGACGAGTAATTTGTTTCACATTTTTTTCTTCGATATATTTTTAAAAATTGATTGCAAAATATAAGAATAGTTCAAGATTTGCTTTCATTTTGAATGAAAGTTAAAATTTTCAGTAAATAAATTGATTAAAAATTGAAAAAATTTTTGAGAGAAATGATTTACTTAAAGAAATTTGTGAGACCGTAAAATTGATGATGTCAAAGTGAACATTCAATGAAAACATTCTGTCGGCATTACTTCTTACTGGCACAACAAGTCATGCGATAAATTAAACAGCTCTCCTTTAAATAACTGAACTGCACATTACACTAATTAGTCTAATTAATAAACAAATTTTGATAAGCTGTGCAAGAATCCAATCATCCGATCATTCGGTCATTCAATTATTCAATTCAATCGGTAGCACATATAATCCATACGCTCTTCACTATACAATACAATTCGAGCTTCGAATTAAAATTAATTCATTAATGAATATACATTTAATGATCAAAAAAATGTATACGAAAAAATTTTGAAAATAATAAAATTAGAATTTTGAGAAAGCGCAATGTAACAAGATAGAAATGTAAAATTGCTAATTGATAATCGGTAATAGAAGATGATTGGTGATAAAATCTGACGGATAATGAAAGAGGTGAAAGGTGAGAGGTTGTTGTTTTAATATAATGAGTGGAAGGAAGATGATTTGAATGAATGGTACGAATTATAGTGATAGAAGATAGCTGCTGTAATGAATCATACAGCATTACAAGAAATGTTTTAATACATACTATACAACAACGGGCAATTCACTGTATCGAAAATTGCGGTCCGTAGAGAGATCAGTTGCTGTCTTTGAAGGAGAAAAGGCCTTGAGGAAGAGAGGAAGGACAGTATGAGTCAGGTCAGGTAACGTTGATCACACTCTCTGAAACAAGTACTGAATGGTAGTGCTGGTGGTGCAACAGATTTGACGGAAATGCGCAATATTCTCCTCTTTTCCTGCTTCACTCACTCTCTCTCTCTCTCTCTCTCTCTCTCTCTCTCTCTCTCTCTCTCTCTCCTTCTGCAATCATTTTGCATGCATATGCACAACTTTAATCTCTCTCCTATTCTTTACAATGCAGTAACTAATAATAAAAGTAATAGTGATAGTGATGATGATAATGGTGGTGGTGATGATGGTGATGATGATGATGATGATCGTGATGATCGTGATGGTGATGGCGATGATAATGACGATTATGGTGATGATGGTACTGATAGAGATGATTGATGAGAGATGAAACGCAAAAGAGTGAAGAGAATTTTTGTATTCCCGTTGTTGTCGCTAAAATTGTTGAAAAAAAATTTTTTTTCAGAAAAAAAATGAACGAAAAAGAATTGTTGGGTAAAAAAGTACAACAAAGGATTTTTGTTCATCAAAACAAAAAAAAAAAAAATCCCTTTCTTTTCATTTTAAAATACAGTCAAGTGGTAATTACATTAAATTGATATTGATTGAATAAATAAATGAATGAAAACATAAAGCGATAATTAATTCTATCAGATCAAAAGCTTTGCTTCAATTTCGTAAATAAAAGTAATAATAATCGTTATTGCACATTTCATTTCCACGTTTCTTTTTCACGTTTCCTTTTTTTCAATTGCTATTTTCTTTTCAATTTTTACCTTATCTGATCGTTTACTAAATTAGATTCTACAGAATAAATATTATTGTACATTTTCCAAATACAATCCGTTTGTTTTCAAGCAAAAATGACATTTGCAAATCTATTCATTAAATGTCATAAAATAGAATTGAAACCATTTGCGCTCAATCTTCGCTGACAATCAATTCAATTTACATTTTCATGTAGTAAATTTAGGTTATAAAAATGCAATGAGTATGTCACAAGTTTTGAAATTTATTTATTAAATGAAAAATGAGGAAAAATTAAGATAAGCCGATATTATCAATAAGTGTAATGACTTAAAATAATGATTCATAATTAATTGTTCTTTTTACTTTATTTGAAATTTATTAAATGAAAAATGAGAAAGAATTAAGATAATACCGATTACTAATTGCAAGTAAATTTGAAAAAAAAAAACAAGCCAAAAAGTTGTAGAATTTTAGTTTTATTCAAGTAATCAGTTTTGTTTTTCATTACTTTTTCATTACCAAAAATAAAATATTAAATGATTGAATGAAAGACGATGTTAAAATGAACGGAATGAATGACAAAATTTAACTGTAAAGGTACACAGCATCGATATTTATTCTTATTTTTGAACTAATACTTAAAACTATTTAACCTTACCTACCATTAACCGATGTTAACATTCCAAATTAAACAGCTCCCAAAATATTTGCACTTTATAAAATTTTACATTACATAACAAAGCGACAAATATCATCAATTATACCTTATGTATGTGATATCGTTGCTGGTAACAAAGACCTATGATAAACTGACAACGCATTAAATGATAACAAATGAAGAGAATGTTAATTTGATAATAACTAATAATGACATAGCTTGATGGTATGGAATGTTTAAATTGTAATGATGGAAATGATAAATAAAAGGAAAGATATGGTAGATGTGAATGATAAAAATTGAATTGAAAACCGGTTTATTGTGTCCTTCAAACATTGCTATCGTTGTCAAAAATAAACTGCTACCAAAAATAAATAAGCAAATGTTGGCATTAACTACTACTCGTTTTTTTTTCCCCTATTTATTTCTTTCATCCAAAAAAAAAAAAAAAAGTATTTATTATAAAGTTAAGCTTCTTTCTTTTTCTTTTTTCATCCAACAATTTTCTAATTCATTTTGGGGGAAAAAAAAACAAACAGAAAAAATTTCTAATATTTTTGGGAAATTTCTAGCAAAATACAATATTGTAACGCGTTTCCATTCAAATTTTTCTTCCTTTCTTTTCGTTTTTTTTTTCTTTTTATTCTGTAATTCTCTACAATGTTCAACATTTTATTTTTAATTCGTTCGTTCGTTCGAAGGATAAAATGATACTTCAGTGCAATTATCAATATCATTCTTTTCATACTCTATTTCTCTTCATTTCTCTTTCACTCTAGCAATCTCTAACTGACTAACTCTCGTCCTCTTTCAATAATTGTTCAGTTATGTAACAAAATTTATTTTATTTTTTTATTTTTTTGAGAAAAAAAAAAGGACAAATATATCTAAGTAAATAGAGAAAGTGATTGCCATTTTTGAAAGAATTGTTTCTGCATCCATTTGACAGCAATTTCAGCACAGTGAACTTTTGTTTTTTCCGTCTTATTGCATATAAATTTATTTAGTAATTGAAAAATTCAGCAGCAATTTTTTCTCATTGTCCTTCCCAAAAGTTTTCTTATTTTTCATAAAATAAATTCAATAATTCCATATGCTAATAATTGTTAATGTACTGATAAAAAAAGAGATAGAATTGCATGTTAAAATTATTGAGGTTTGTCTCGAAGCAAATAATGAGAAGGATGAACATTTCCAAAATTAAGATTTTATTGAAATTGCCAAATAGTCTGTTTTTATTTTGGAATGATAAAATGATAAGAAGGAAACTGACATATACAATTGCGAAGCAATCCGTTTAAACCGGAAAAATATGCAAAAACTTACCATCTTCATCATATTTCATAAGCGGAATTTTAGCACTGTACTGAATGTTAATTGTTGATATTATTTTTGTCATTGTACGACAATCAAATAGCAGCGTGAAATTTCAACTCTTTTGAACACAACTAAAAATTTGAAAATTCTAACATTAATGCAATTTTCATCGATATATTTTGTTAATCAATAAATTATTTATAAGATACTTTGAATAAATTTAATTGCGCAGTTGTCGGTAATTTATTTTGACGATAAAGTGATTCATCAAAATATTGTACATTCTATAAATAAAAAAAAATATTTGGGTGCAAAAAAAAATTAAATGGACAAATTGAATTGTATGAGAAATGTATGGAAAAGATTAATTTGTAAGATAGAAACGGCTTTTTTTTAAAAAAAAAATCCATTCTTCCCATTATCATTACGCTTAAAAATAAAATATACCGAAATTGATTGAATTAAGTAAGTTTATTAATTTAAATTGCAAAATCAAACTGATGAAGTTTCAATTATCAATATTTCAATTATGCATATCTTTATTACCCTTTAGAAATCTATCTTAAATCAAATCAAAAAACTCAATAATCTGTCTTGTAACAAATAAATTCAAATGATATGCTGCAAGACATCGTTTAAAAAATTTCGATAGCATTTAAAAATTGTTTTTAAAAATTGATTGTTTTCTACTGAATCATTGACATTTTGAAAATGCATACAATTTTTTCTTAAAGTATAATTGATATAAAGTGAAAGTTTAATCAATTTTATGCCAAATTTGAGGAACATAAAAAGACTACCGGAAACCTCTTTTGATTATTTACAAATACAGTTAGGCTTATTGATTTCAAAATATGACTAAGAAATGAATGGCGTATTTTTTAGGAATAAATCTGATCTCTAAATATAAAAATTGTCTATTTCACAGCACTATGACTTACAATAATTCAAATTAAAACCTGATTCAATTATTCATATAAATATAAATACTTATCTCTAACGTTTAAATGAGAAAAATAGATGAATTTTAGAAGAGAAGAGGAAAATTGTCTGTAAAAAATCTAATATAAAAGTAGGAAGGAAAATTGTTGTTAAAAATTAAATAATTATCATCATCGATTTTATGAGTGAAATAATTAACCCAACTTTTCATATTTCGTCCTAAATAATTCACGTTTGTTGTCCATTTAAAAAATACCAATACAATATTTAGATGTTTCTTTTAAAATTTGTAATATTTTCATATGGTAGCCAATACACATTCATATAACATTTTACCAATTTTGTTTGATAATTTCACTCACTGAGAGATTTATGATCGCCGTTCTCTATGAAAATACTCAATTTCTTTTTATTTAATAACAGTCATCAATCACTGTATAAAAATCCTTTGAACTCATTCAGTTCCATTCAATTCATTTTGGAAAAGAATTGTGTGGTTATTCAGGAATTGAGCAAATAGTTGTGGATAGAATACTCTGCACGATGATGGTTGAAAAATTTAGATGGGAATAAAAGTTCAATTACATTTCTTTCTCAAGCCAGAAAAAAAAAAGCAATTCAAATTTGCGCTACAATACATATTCGTTATGATTATTTTAAAGATTTCAACAATTTTAGAGCAGGTAAAAAGCAACAAAATAGAAGACAAGTGCTAATTAATTGTAATTTTCAATTAATAAAGCATAATTTTAAAAAAAAACAAAAATTTATCATGATATTTAATTAGTCCATGCATAAAAAGATAATTACCAATTTAAGATAGACATCAATTCGACAGGTTACGCAAAATATCATTCATTCATCCAATTTAGCTCAGTTAAATTAGCATAAAAAATCTTACTAAAATTAATTGTTGCTAATTTGCATTACGATATAGAAAAAAAAAACATAATTATTTTCATCTTTTAAGAAGAAAAAAATTATTGGAAAAATTTGTTTAATTACTCAAAACAGCAAGAAAGAATGCTAACGGATTTTCAATTGCATTGAAGAAAGTCTTCAATATCAAAAGAATATTTTAACGGAAATAAATTTCACAGGATAAATTCCAATGCAAATGTAAAACTATAAATGCCATAAAAGTCTCTGTAACAATAAAAGTTATCGAACAATGTGTAAACATGAAATATTGATCGGTTATTGATTGCTACGTTTACATATAAAAACTATCTTATTATATATTCATATTAAATATATTCTAGCTTGAACTGTAAGCCTTTCTCGAATTTCTTTTCAAGCATGAAATTAATTATAGAATTGTAATTTCTTTATAAACAATTTTATCCCATAAAAAAAATGCAACTTTAACTTTGATCAAAAATAACAAACATAATGATATTGATCTTTTAATCATTATGATTTGATAAGATACTTCAAAAAATATTACAATAATGTAGCTTAATGCACCATCAATAAGGATATCTGCTAGTAACAAATAAATTTGTTTAAACTTTATAATTAATTCAATAATTATCAGATAATTGTTACGATGCAATTTCATAAGAAATTTTAAAATTATAAATAATCCTTTTTGGATGATGATAATAACACTATCAAAATATAATTACTACGATGCAATCTCACAAGAAATTTTAAAAATAAACAAATTATGAGTAATTTTTTTGGATGATAATAACGCTAACAAAATATATTTTGGGCCAAAATTGAAATAATTCAACAAACGGTACGTGCAACGATCAACCATAAATATTATAATCACAATATTTAACCATTATTGTCCACCTGTCTGCACTTCCATTTTCATTTTTCAAATCACTCCAATCATATTTATCCACGAATGCATGTACAAATAAGCAAATATGTAATGTATGCATGCATGCATGAATGCATTACTTACTGTTAATCTTACCAATTCTAATTCAAATTTTAAGTCATAGAATGAAAAAGTTTTGCTAGAGTTCACATTTTATAAATAATAAACAACATTGTTTGATAAATAAATACCAATAAAAGATCTCACATAATTTCTTATTTTAAATTCCAATTTGAATTTAAATTCCAATTTGAATTCTTGTCAAGTGAAACTTTTTCCATATGCATTGGTCGTTTTCATTTTCAAGGAAAAAAAAAGCTGCTCAAATTAATCACATTGAAAATGTGAGTGATAATTTATCACAGTTTTGGTTATTTATTTAATCAGAAAGATTATCATTTCCTTAACATCCTTTTAACTGGATCACAAACGAAAAGAAAAAAATTTAGTGGATCGTTTGATTTGTATTAAATTATATTTAATTATATTAATTTTCAGATTCTTCTTTATTTTCTTACACCTAAACATTATTGATCATTGAACATTTTATCCATAGTTATCACATTGAAAATATGAGTGATAATTTACCACAGTTCGAAAGTTATCACGATTAAAATTTAATGATCATACAAGAAGATGTATTTTTGATTGCAAAAAAAAAAAAAAAATTGATCTCCATTTCTACATTTTACTAACATTTAAATATCATATCATCGGGCTTACATATGACATGTGATTAATTAAATCGAAAAAGAAAATAAAAATTAGGCAGTAATGATCATTTTGATCGACAACCATTTATTCTCTTCCGTGTCATTTAACATTTTCAAAAACTAATCACATACTTTTTAACTTTACAGCATTTTTAGTTTTTAGAATTAATTTAAGAATAAAAATAATTGCATTCTTTTTTTATCATTGACACCGTGAAATCATTCTTTAGCAGTGATTACTTCCAGTTGAAAAAAACAAGTAATGTAGTGATAATCCCACCTCCGTTTACTTCAAATTCATTATCATTTCTTTTAATAGCAAAAAATTCAGATTTTAGTTATCTCATTAGCAAGAATGAAAAATTTTTAGTGCATAATTTGTAATTTAATGCAATAAATCCTAGAACAGGTATTGGGGAAATACATAAGAATTTTTGTTCATACAAAAGTTAATTAATTTTTTTCTTCTTAATTAATCATGAAACACTGTTCTATTTGTTTTGAAAGCATATAAAATTTATGCATTCTAATTGTGATACAATATTATTTATGCATTAAGCATATGGATCGAGTTAAAACACATGTTTAATGATATGTCTCAGAAATCATTCGCTAATTCTCAACGGAAGTGAATATTATACTTCTTAAGCATTCAATTTAGCCATTTCAAAATTATCCCCAAAACAAATTTTCATTTAAAATTAATCAGTGAAAGTAAGTAAGTTCGGAAAAACAAAGTATAAAAGCTGTAATAGTATGGTCAACATTTTTTATATCCAAAACTATCTTGTCATTGCAATTTTTTTTCATATCAAATGGATGTGAATGTGATTTTAAATTACCTCAATCCATATTTACAACTAAAGCGTTATTCGTAGGGATGATTAAATTTGCAGAATAAAAGTTAAATACGTGCAAATAGCTAAATTACTAGCATTATATTACATGTAAAATTATTGAGTTACAGTAAATTTCCTTAATAAAAAGAGAAGTTATTTAGGCTTCAAAAAGAACTGTAAGATAATAAATGGGAGACACCGGAAATGATACGACGTTAAATTAAGCAAAATAAGGAATTATCTTGAAACCCTGCAGAAATTCAAGTTAATTCCATCAAATGACTAAAGCCAAACATACATTTGCGAAAGTTATTTGGACCTTATGCAAAAGTTATTTAAAATTATTTTTATGTTATAGAAGGTACATTCACAAAAATCACATAACTTTATAGATGATGTATTTGCAAAAGTCATTTAAAATTTATACAAAGATGCATCGGCGAGAGTAATTTTGATCCTATGCAATATTCACATACCATCTAATATTTTTGCATTTAAAATGAATTCTAATATTTTTGAATCTAATATTTTTGCGTTTAAAACATTAAATTTTAAAAATGAAATAAAACGAGATTTTCGATTTCATTTTCTTCAATTTTTTTCAGGATTACGGATAGATAAGCTCGAGAAATAAGTGCTTTCTTATTTTGGTATTTAGCTTAACCGTATTGGAGAATGCAAAAAAATTATTTCAAAAGAATTATTTGAAACGATTCTAAAAGGCTTTTAAACATTCATATTTATATTTACAAAAAATAAAAAAGAATAATGCATGCGCAATATAAAATTTTACACAATAAAATATGCAAAAATGCACAAATCAACTATTTGATCAGAATAGTATCAGTTGATCTTTAACTTTTGCCATTTTAATGATTTTAATGTTCTCAGAATTTCACTTCATGATTCAGTTCCTGAAATACAATTCTTCGACAAAATATCATCAACAGATTGCGCTAAAGAATGACAGTTTTATAAATAAACAATCGGAAGAGTGTAAAGTTAAAGAAAAATGTAGAATTTTAGAAAATTCCTGGAAAACCTTTCAAAAAATCCGATTTTAGCATGCTTCAATGCATTAATAATATCGCCGAAACCGTTATTTCCAAGCAGTCGACTTCGAAAATCTTCTGCTTGTCGTTCAAATACTGTTTTTGGAATTGATGTTACCTGCAATAAATTATTTTTGTCTTTCATTCTTCATTTTTTTCAAAAAATTTGAAATGCTAAATTAATGAGAGAAGTGGAGAGAAAAGAAAAAAATCATTGATAATGTCAAAATTTCCGTAAAAATTTCGAAATTCATACTTTTCCATAGATTATCGTTGTTCTATTAAATATGTAAGGTTGCTCAACTGGTTGTAATCCTACTTTCTCATGAAGTATTGAACTACTGGCTGAAAAAAAGATTAATTGATAAGGATAAATAGTTTTCAATTACAATGTAGGAATTTTGAATCGCTGGATATTTAAAAAAGAATTCGAAATTTTATTTCATTTTTTTTTGATTAATGTTATTTATATTTTTTATTTATTTTACATTCCAAGTTAAAAAAGTTACAAAAAAAAATTGAATAATGCAAATTCATGTATGATATCGTTTCATTAATTATTATTTGCAAGCCAAGTTCAGCTAAATAAATTGGAAATACTTTGTGGTTCTTCGGTGCTTGTACTGCTGCTAATTGTTGTCCTTAACAATTCCTGACTGCTACTTTGAATAGACTTGATTTTTAAATGATCAGGTTGTGATGTTGCACCAGTAATTCCGCTTACTAATCGATCATATTCGGCTTGTTCATGTGCCATATAATCTGTCTTCCACTTACCTAAAATGAATTAAATTTCAATTTTATATCTCAACAATCACTAAAAATTGAAATAAATTTATTAAATTAAAAAAAAAATAATATCTCATAATTTAAACGTTTGTTGCAATGTAAAATTGTGTGAAAAAAACAAAGAGAATATTTTAAAAGGAGTAAAAATTTTCGACCTGATCACATTTAGTTATTTATTGAATCAGAAAATTATCATTTTCTTAACTCTCTTTTAACTGAAATAGTGAATCATTTGATTTGTATTAAATCATATTTAATTATCTCAATTTTCAGACTTTTCCTTCCTTTTCTTTCATTTAAACATGATTGACCATTGATCATTTTATTCCACATGATCATTATGTTTTTGCTATCATTTTCTGTCCGTTTTATAACTTATCCATTTCTGCCCAAGAAAATTCTAATTAAATTATTTTTCTTTAGATTTTTCTTTTTTTTTTCTTAGGCTAACATTTTTGGGAAAGATCTTTCATGCTTCGTGCAATAGAATCTTTAATAATATGCCTCAGTGCAATTTAGGCAATTTTCAATATTTCATTCAAATCTACTATAAAAATTTTAATTGATATATCGTTTTAAAAAATTTAACCTTCTTTTTGAGGATCTAATTTTAATGATTCTGCAACTAATGCTTCCGAAATTTCATCGTGCCAATTACGATAATCATCAATAATACGTTGTTCATCAAAACTCAACCGTGTATTTGCGGTAAGTTTTTCATGCGGTCTTATTTCTTCTTCATGTTGATCATTGATAGTCTAAATTTTCAAATGATTAATCAAATAGCATCTATATGATGTAAATTTTTTTAGATTTGACCTTTGTTTGAATCCACTGGTGACGATGGAAAATATACTCTAATTTTACCTTTATAATTGTATCCATCCCATCATCTATGAAGTGATGATGATCATTTGCACTAACTTAGTTTTCGCCATCAACAAGTGATGAGAAGATTTGTCCGAGAAATTTTCTCTTTGCTTTTGCACTCGAAAATCGTGATAAATAGCAGGGTGAAAATTTTCAAATCAATATTCGACGAATTAAACCAAAAACGCTAAAAGTTTTTGTTTTTGTTTTTTTTTTTTTGTGTGTGTGTGAGAAATTAAGCACTTTTTCAGAATCATTATCGAGTTCATAGAATTTGGCAGCAACTAATTTTGGTTTTTCTGATGTTTCAGTGAATTTTGATTCCTCATCATGACGTCTTTTAAGCTCTTCATCAACAATCTGCAAGAAAGAAAGAGGCTAATTCAATGGACAAAATTCAATTTTGTTAAAACTGTTGAAGTCTTTCAAAATTTTCAAATAAAATTATACTTTTCCAATGATTTTTACAAATGCAGCAGTTTGTGCTTCTGAAAGATTGAGCGTAGTAACAACTTCTTTCAGATCACCCAATGAACTTTGTGTCGTATTGTCTGTCTCCTAAAATCGTATGAATGATGAATGAATATATAAATATTCAAATGATATTTCTAATTTTGAAATCGCAAAAAGAAGTAAAAATTTAGATGCCAAATTTAATAAAATATGATAATATCAAAAAGTAGAAATAAGAATTACGTTGATTTGAAAGAAATATTTCCAAAATAGATCGTTTCGCAATTTTTTTTCTTCCTTTAAATTTCTGTTAATATCTGTAGCAATCTAAAGAATTATATACATTAGATTTGTATCGAAATTAAAAAAAATCGTCCTGTGTTAATTTTAAAAAAATTTGAATTTTTTCTTTTAATTCAATTTATTTTGAAATGTAATTTAACATTTTATTTAATTTCCTTTCGGGTAAATAAAATGATTGCAATCATTTCAAATTAAAATATTCTCCCCACACTCACTCTATCACTTCCATCCACTGCCGAATTCTTCCCCATTTCTGAATCAGTTCCATAATAATTCGTTGTTGTATCCGTCGTACCGGTAACATTATTACCATCTAAGAAACAAAAATAAGATACTTTAAAAAATTCCTATAAAACATATTCTTCATTCATATCCGTGAAAAATTCAATCTTGCACGTGTGATGATACCATTCGGCTGAAAATTGAAAGAAGCCCGAAAGTAAAGGTTAATGAATGATAATGTGTGTGTGTGTGTGTGTGTGTGTGTGTGTGTGT